CTCCGACATGAAAGATGCGGATGGTGCGACGATGGACGCGGCAAGTGCATGGAGAGGGCCGCCACGGGTCCCGTGCTGACCGAAAATCAAAATTTTCAATGGATTTCGAAGAATACGACTCCGACGAGCGTCCACTTCATGGTGAAGCGGACCTGTTCTTGAGTTTCGATCAAATCGTAGACTCCTACCGTGAGTAGATATAGAAAAGACTCTCCGTATCCCTATCTAAAGTATCCCCATCATTGTCTCCTATGGGTTTACACTCCCGGGTTTTTTGATCCGTTCCCTCCCGGGAACGCACGGAGCTTCCTCTTCTGTGGATTTCTTGGTGATCGATCGTGTAGTGTAGATGCTCGAAAACTTCGTCGAAGACTCCAACCCAACGGAGCACAAGATTCTGGGACGGAGGAGACCCCACTCGGACAGTAGTGGGCGCATTGCCGAACCCGGGGTCTCTTGAAGTCCATTTGATTCGTTGAACGTTCTAGCTGGGATCTGACCGTAACCCAACCGATTCCCTCACTCGATTCCTAAGAGGCCACACAGTGCAACTCGCGGCATCGAGAGGGTTTTTCGTCTCTGACAGAGGCGAAGTTCTTGAATCTTGTAGCTCCGGCCTAAGCCTCCGCGCACGACAAAAATATCACGGGCTTAGTGAGATGATCCATTAAACAAGCGACACGCAGATGTCGAGAAAGTACGCTGTGCGCGGTTTGTGGAGCGCATGTTTATGAGACGGACTGAGGCCGACTTCGCCTGGAGCCGTTGATTGAGCACGGCGCAAGACTAGTCGGCTGGTTTTCGTGAGGTTTCGGCCATAAGCGAATTCCCACATGGGGGTTCCCGCCTGCTCGCGTATCGGATTACAATCGCTATCTGTTCTCGGTGAACGCTATCTGTTCTAACAAAAGTAACCGTCCTTCATTACAGGCGATCTCATAGTCGAGCACCCCGACTGCCTCAAAGAATTTCGATGGTCCCTGATGATCGAAAACTTTCCCCCCCCCCGCTAATGAACGGGAACATGGCAGTGAGTTTCAGCAAGTATACTTGACGTGTGATGATATGTGTGAAAAATTCAGCGCCTTTATCAGAGAAGCAGAACCCGAAACAGTTTTAAAATCCCATAGGCGATACCCCAGCTCGGTGCCATCGTAGTCAACGGTGGCGGCGGCGGCCAAGAGCTCCGGGCCCCAAGATCGGGCGAGGCTTCGGGGATATCCCAACCTTCCGAGACAATCGAACGGAATGTTGCCAGCGTACGGATCGGTGATGATGCACAAGGGTAAGGATTCGAATGGGCCTTAGATTGTGTTTGTTGAGTGGCTCCCTTTGCTCTGTCCGGGAGAATCAGGCGTTTTCTCATCCAGCGTTAGAAGCCCCCTCGATTCTGAGCCCATATCGTTCGCTGAGCGAATGCCTTCTGCTCGCTCGCCGCATCTGTGAACGATCGAGGCGTATTCCGCTTCCGAACACCATCGACCCGACCAACAGTCGGATGATGGCACTATACCGATAGGGCAGCGTATTTTCCACAAGAAATTCTCAATTCAGGATCGTGGCTTTTGCAGCGATTCTGCGACAACTCCACTAAATGCCGAGATGGTTTGGTCCGGTCTACAATGGGGAGCCTCGTTTCTGTCGAAAGTCACGGAGAAGGCTAAAGAATCTGTCGATAAGGTGATCACAACACTAGACCCTCAAATGAAGCCCATCATCTTCTCGGGAGGAGATCTCAGTATTACAGTGGCGTCCGACAAAAAGGACAAAGTCATGCCGATCCAGGACGCTTTTTGGGATGTTTTCGGCAGAGCTACCGTGGAAGGTTGGTTTTGATGCATTCGTTCAAAGCTCCGATCGCGTATGCGTTCCGCATATATTTTAACATGCTCTGATTTCATCGGTAGGCGTGAAAGCTCAACCATCGTCAATGGCAGCCCAACCGGTCGGATTCACGGCGGGTTTGAAGGCAGCCGAAGACCGAGTGGCTTGTCTACACAACACCGGCGATGTCGACCCTCAGAGT